AGGTTCGGTTTGTCAAAAAGGCTTGAATCGACGAAGCTTGTTGGCTACCTCCATCCAAAATGCATCGGGTTAGCTGTGTTATACCTGTGAGGCCAGTAATGTACATGCGAGCAGTCCTCAGATGTGTGAAATTAGTTATAGTGTTAGTTAGTGTCGTAACACCAATCACTATCAATTTTATGCAAAAATATTTTTTGAATTTAAAAAAAAATGTTTTCAGTCAAAATTCATTGAAGTAGTGTTTTGATATAGAACATAAGTTGGAAAATATAATTTTAAAAAATCAGAGCTTTACATGCATAATTAGTTTTTGTTTTATGCCTTTACAAACTTTAAATGCGTTTTCCTCGGACTTTTAAATTTTATATGATGTGGGTATTTTCTAATCCCTAAGGGGCTTTTTTTCTGTTCTAGGTAGTCTTGAAATTTTTTGTAGATACTCCCAAACATATTTTCTATAAAAGTTCGGATGGATTTAAGTTTGAGATCTCTAGTTATTTGTTAAAAAAATGCTAAAATTAATATTTTAAAAAGTTTCAGGTTTTTTCCAGGTTTATTTATAGAAAAATAAATATTAAAAATCAACAAGGGAACATATTTTTAAATCCATACTAACTTTTGTTTACAATAATCCAAGAAAAATAAATCACTTAAAATGACTGAAAAAATTTTAAAAATTGAGCATTTTATAAAAGTTTGAAAACATATTAAAAACTGGTATTTTTTTTAAATTGTAAAATAATGGCAGGTCAAACAGACTTTTTGCATTTAGAACCAACTTAATAATGCAAGATGAATGTAAAACATAAATTATTTGTACTGTTAGTGTCTCCAAACATTTCACTTCATTGTTTGGGATACAAGTGTTTTGGATTTAGTGGATAAATTGAAGCGTGGGGTTTCTTTTGACACTTCGTGCAGTGAGCAAAATCTTGAAGAAGACAGTTTGTCATTTTGTGTCCATGATTGGTGCATAAAAAGCAGCGACTAGAGCCTTCTAGCTTTTGAATGCGAGTATTATCAGTTAGAGTTTCCCATTTCTGAGCCTAATGGCCTGCCGATTCACAAAAGGCACAAAAAGGTGTATGATTATTTTTGTTTAGCTCAGAAGTGGCCACGGTAGCCGAGTGGTATAGGTATCGGATCGTGGCTTGCCTTGTCACGAGTTCGAGCCCAGTACCACTAAAGACCCGCCATGTAGGGCAGCGATGCACGTTAAATCTGTCGAGAGCTGAAACATCCTCCCGTGGTGTGGTAGTTAGGTGAGGGGGTGCCATCTCCTCAGGTGTCATCCACGTCACTCGACCATGGTTCAAAATGTCCGTCACCAAAAGCCCTCATGTAGCTGAATAGTGCGACGTTAATATTCAATCAATCAATTAGCTCAGAAGTACGCTTAGTATTTACGTAGAAGACAGTAGTAGGAGATAACGATGCCATAACTGTATCCCTTTTTATTTTCAAATCTGTAAGAGCTCCTTCCATTTCTTCAGACAAAACCTTAATCATCTTCGACATGTTTCCTTCAGAAAGGGACTCGCTTTTCGCATGAATGATTCACATTTTGTAACCATCTCCTCTGGAAAAACTCTGAATTTTTGGAACCAGAACAGGACCCTAATTATCTATTTTTTCACCAAGAGCACTCGAAGCTTGTAGTGCTACTGCATTCAATATTTGCTGCACTCAAAGCTTGAGGAGTGGCGATTTGTTTTTTCAAATGTCTAAGTGGGTTTGGATAATCCGAAAACAAATATTTAACAGTATTATAGATTTCAGTAAACACACCCATTCCGTTGACGAGTCATTTTGCTTTACCATCCAAAAATCCTAAACAAAACGTGTTTGTGGACTAGCGAGAGAGTCGTAATTGTCATTACACGGGATTGAATACGCACCCAGAAACTTAAAAATTCTTCTACGTCTCCATACAATGTGTTTATTGCAGTTGCGGGTAATTTCACTTATATATTAGTATTTGGTATTTGCACAGTAGAGGGTAAAAATTCAGAAATTACCTGATCGGATTCTTCTCGGATTTTCTTTTTGGCGAGAAAAATTGGCAGTTTGGTGTTGTCTTCGTGTTTTTCCCATTCAACTACGTTTTGTTCGTATTCATCACACATTATGTACTTCTTCGTCAACTTTGATCAATTATTTTTTCTTTTCTTCCAAAGTACTAGTTTATAATCCATATTGTTACATTGCGGCACTTCTTTCCCTTTAGTTATCAAGCGAGTTACAGCTAAACATATCATAGATCTCTCTCCCGTTTTAAGTTCGCCAGTATATTGTTTGGTGCTATTGTTTAAAAAAAATGCATCGTACTTCATAATAAAAGTATATTTCACTTATATAGTTTTCAATATTTCACGTAAATGAAAATTCCCTGATTTCTTTCAATTAGTTTTTGGCATCAGATGTTAAGTATTTAAACATTGAAACAGTAGTTAAGTAAAGAAATTAAAACAACGGCTCCACATTGTCTCGTTCATTCGTTTATTTCTTTTGTAAACAAAACAAAAACTGTTTCCACTCACAACAATACTTAATAATTTTTTTCAGAATAAGAATTAATATTTATTAGAAATAAATAAAACCTGCAAGATGACGTCATTGTTTGGGGATTTTCAAAGGTGCACCAATAGCATTTTTGATCCAGTTCGTAATAAACGCGCATGCTTGTTAAGTAGCGATGTGAATAGTTGCTAGTTAATAGTTATATTCGTAATTTCAATTTGAATTTTTACTTGATTTATTATGTACTTATATAGACTGAATTTTCACTATACATGAAGTTTTAATTTTTTTTTTTTTTTTTTTTTTTGTAATAAAAATGAATTGTTGTTGTTTTATAAATATGTAACATTGATTTTTTCGCATGACTTTTTTGCATGGTTTTTTTACTTGGAGGGGGAGAGAAATATTTATAGAATTTTCAACTTACATGATGTTTTAAAGTTGTCGAACATTAACCGAAGTATAACATATGTCGCATGTATTTTTTTACACGATTTTCTTTTATATTGTTTTCTAAGATACGTATCTACTGTATAAAAAGAGTTGGGTGTACAATGTATTGAAATTAACAGTTATTTTACAAAAAGCAAGAATTGTGTGTGTGTTTCTAAATAAATATCATACAATCATAAAATTTTTAGTTCACAGGATTTTTTCAAAACATTCTTTTAGTACTTCAAATTTCATTTCATTTTCTTTTCTTTTTTTTTTCTTTTTATAATTATGAATACATTTCCCTTCAAGATTAGACACATGGTGGAGTTAAAACTCTCTAAGTCTCAAAACATATCTTTAGATTGATTCGGTAATTTTAAACTAGACAAGATGAAATAAAAAGCTTCCTACAAAACTGCAATTTTAAATCGAGACGTACATTTTTCTTTGTGCATTTCGTTCGCGTTCCTTTTATTCAAACAAACGCAAACTTCAGATTGGAAACTCGAATACTTTATCAGAAAAGAGATTAGAAATTTAAAATACTTACTTTACTATTTTTCCTTAATTAACAGTCGGACATATCCTTTAATCTGATTTTCCTAAATATGGGGAATTTAATTCGATAAGGCGTCTGAATTCTCGAAACTGTTAATATTTCAGCTTCGAAGATTAAATCCCGATGAAAGTTTGGGAAATTTGATTTGTACAGCTTTGATTTTCATTCCACCAGCTTCTGTGATAAAATGAGCTCATCATACGGAGATCAATTCAATAACTGGCAAGTGTTTTTCTCGATTAGGGTTCCAATTTAAATTTCCAAATTACTTATTCAAAGAGATTAGTCTTTTAGAAATTCTTGGAACTTGTCTAGAGAGAGGAAATGTATGATGGAGTGTGATAATTCTTCGAATTCGATTCAGCTTTTACGAAATAGACATCAGGAAATAAATAAGTTCAAAATTGACTGAACTAAAACTCATAGCAATCTCTAAACATAAAAAGGCATTGAATGCCTCAAGTTTATTTATAGGTGAATTGACTGACTTTTCAATTTGAATATCAATTTTTCCTGCAGACCATGCTTATCAAAGATTATAATAAATTAAAGATTATAATAAATTGAATGAAAAAAATGTGTTAACTAAAAATTGGTCTGTTTTGTGGTCTAATACGGAAAGGATTGATAAAGAAATGAAATGGTAGTGGGTTCAAGTCTCTGTGTTACGTAGTTAAGTCACGCTCCATCTGTTCAGTTCAATACTGGAATCTTAACGTAGCATGAATTCATTTATTGCTTGTTTCAAAATGTTGCACTTCGAAACTAGACAAGGGTATTGACAGCTGATCTCGTTATTTTAAACCACGGCCAAGGGACTAAAACGAAACCTGTGTTGGTACCTCAACTTTAAAAATTCACATTATGCCAAGGCGTGACTTGAGAAGTGTGAGGCATAGAGTCTGGTGTCACATTTGTTGCTTTAAACGTGCTGATCGAAAATGTATCGATTACTAAGGAAGGTGCTTTTCTTATCCCGATTTCTTTTTATAGAACATTTTGATCTTTTCCTTAAGTAATGCGGAACCTGAACAAAATGCGCACGGTACAGAATTTCTTTTTGTACATTAATTAAATTTCAAACAATCTAAGACATTTTATGTTTAATACTATAGAAAGGAAGAGAAACGAACATTAGTCATGGGTTTGCTTTAAAAATTGCATCGAGTTCGCCTCATTCGTCTATTAACAAGTAATACAAAATATTTTTTAAATCAATTCCTTTTAAGGTCAACAAAGAAAAATTTTATTTCAGTTACTTTTTATTAAATAGTTAAAAGTAATAGAAATATTTATATAAATATGAAAGAATCACAATATTGACAAAGTAGAAAACGATTTTCGATGCAATTTTCCATTTTTCTTTTCTATATAGGGTGTTGAACTATATTTTGTTTGTTTTTGTTAATATTAATTCATTAATTAAATTTAATTATTCTAATAAAATAGGATAGTAAAAAAGAAATCACATTCTGAGAAATTAGGCCATTCCTGGTGGAATTCGAACCCACGACCTTTAGATTTTAAGTCCAATACGCTATCCATTGTGCTACAGGAACCATTTACTTATTTTTTTATTTTAATTAATGAATTAATATCTGAAAAACTGTGTTCACATCAAGTGTCATCTACTACAAATTTAAAAAAATGTATTTGAACTTGAATGGATGAATAGAAAGTATTTTATTAACGATAGAAACATTGAACAATATATATATATATATATATATATAAGTACGATAAAATAAAATAAGATACAGAGGGGAAAAGTTGTTTAACCTACAAGGCCTCGGAATAAAGAAATTGGAGTTCAAGAGACATAACAATTGAAGATACAAAAAGAGTTTTTGGACTGAAATGAAGACCTGTAATGATCTTACCCCTGGAGTCGCTTCCTCATCATCTTGTCTACCTAAAGCTGTAGGAGGGAAAGATGAATGACCAAGACTATCCATAATAAATTTAATTTATTATTATCAAAGATAATATTCCACAACAAGCAATCTATAAAGGGAACCCTTGGAGTGATATAAATAAAGCAACAACATTATGTGAATAAGCCACGAAATCCGAATAGATTAACTTTAATCAATCCTATCTTAATACTCTTCTAGATTCACTAATTTATTCTAGTAGCTAATATCCATCCTTTAGTCACGATGCGAAATTCTAATTCTTACCTTAGTATCACGGTGTTCAGCTGATCCGCTCCTACTGATCTACGATTATTAAACTTTAACTTTATATACACTAACTAATTTGCATCTTATGCTTTCTTCCTGAGAGGGATGGCTGTGAAATAAACACGATTGCTGGCCCAAAGATTCCCCAAGAGGATTAGTAGTTGAAAGTTGCGTAAAGCGCGGTCACAAACTCCTACAAGAAGGAAACGTGATTTATTTGAGGGTCTTAATGACCCGATAGAAATTACTTACTTTAAAAATTTGCACTTAAACTCACAAAAAATCTCTAACTCGAAATTAGCATTAATTTCTACACAACAATGCCCTACATTCAAAAAACACTCCAAAACTACTAGCTCTCTTAGTTCATTATATCACTCACAAAATTTTCCCTTTCACACTTATTATTGAAGGTGTACCCCATTTAGCGAGAGAGAGAGAGAGAGAGGACCGAGAAAAAACCTCCCCCACAGGAAGGGAAAAACATGGCCGTACACAACACGTAACTTAGATATTTTAACATTCTTCTTTGCTTTACCAGATTCACTGTCTTCGTCACATCAAAAAAAAAAAAAATCTTCAATCCATCAGGGTCAGCCACTCTGAAATGAGAACTGGATCAATGGACCTACAAATAAAATTTTCAACACTATATACATATACAGACCACACACATTGAACTTGTATACATAATCCAAAAGTCAGTTATTTTTAAACATATATAAGCACACCATCTGGTTTTTCCAAAGAAAAAAAACTCACATTCCAATTGCGCAGCGCTGTTAGTATTATGGTTAATTTCCTATCTACGCCGCGTCCCCAAACCCAGATATATACTAATTTTGAAAGCCTATGGAATACAAGTTCACTGTTATAAAAACGCTTACTTGTTAATTTTTAGGAAGTAAAGTTGTGGTTATTTCCCGTTAGGAAGATCAACCCAAAAATATAGTTATCACACGAAGTCTTGGAGGGCTAAAGGTCAATATTAATTAAAATACTCTACGAGAAAACTTAAGTGAATTATTACATATACATTTAATTCTGAAAAAAAAATTGTAACATTTAAGTTCAATTTAAATTAACCTATTCTCCACGCAGAAATAAATCTTGCAATTGAAAATAGTTTTCGTACTCACAATGTATATAAAAACGCTAGTTTAAACGATGCACATTCTAACAATGGATAAATTGTAAATGAAAAATTATTTGTCAGTTTTTTTTCTATCACTGTGTCTTCTCTAAGGAAGAAATTTGTACAAAACCAGTGGAGTTAAAGTACTTCAATGATTTATGATACTTTCACCTTTTGTCGTAATTACGTTATAACAAAGCATCCAACGTTAAATTCATCTCATAATTTGTGAATGCATTCAACCAATCATCAAGCAGAAAATTATCTGCAATAAAAAGGAAAATAAAGAAAGGAGATATCTTGTTTCTCGATGTAAAACTGTCCTAAAATAATGAATATTCCTTAGAAAAAAGAAAACAAGTATAATATTTGATTTAACGAAAACACTCGGGAAACACTTACGTGGGCCTAGTGCCAAGAAATACACGAAAAATTGCTGCATTAAGCTTCTTAGACCTGGACAATTTGTTAAGCAGAAAATGTCAGCTTCAAAAAGAGTGAGAGAAAAGAATTTCTTTTTACAAGAATACATTTTTTGAAGTTTGCTGGATAAGTATTTTTCTGTTGAATGCATCCTCTACGATAGAATTGTTTTCACAGTCCATATATGCCTTTAGTTTTTGGATGCCCAGGAGCTTTATAAAGAAAAATATTCCGTGAAGTATTTTTCTTTTATTTAAAGAAATGAGGTTCCATTGAAATTATAGTCCAATATATAAGGCCTTGAGACATCTTTCTATCTTTGGGATTCATAAGTACCTGGCTGTATTTTTACAATTTCCTTTTACACCGATGTACGGAAGATTTGGGATGAATTGAATTTTGGAAATAACGAGTCATGTTTCTCATAATAACATGGTTATATGACCAAACTTACTTTTGATAGGATTCTCATTGGAAAAAATTATTTTTAAGTTTTATAATTATTATTATTTCTATCTCTACTTTTAAAATATTGTAAAAAGGCTTGTTTGTATTTTTTCTTATAGCACTTATTTGTATTTTAGCATTTTCATTATTTGAATTTTAAACTAAATATTAAAAAACTAAATCATTTCATTTGATTCTACTTTCTTTTGCAGCACTTTGATTAGAAAGAAAGGAATCACCTAGTTGTTTGTAAAATTCATTAGTATCTTTTTCATTGCAAATATTGCTATACGTTGGGCGCAATGTTTCATTAATTGATTAAAATCCTGCTGCCACCAACTTCTCATAGTTAAATTGAAGTATTTTTAAAAAGTTTATCAAATATTTTGAAAATTCTGTTCGAATAGCAGTGAATTATTTTGGTAGAATTTTATGGAATAGATTGAATGTGTATTTTTTTAAAATACGTTGAATATGTTTCTTAATTGGTTGAATATCATATTACATTCCCAAGGGGTTTCTACTATTATAAAAGATAAAGTTTGTGTATTTAAAAATTATACACAACTATAATCATCATAAGTGTCGTCCTTGTTTCTTGATCATGGTTCAAAATTACGAGGTCCGTCACCAATAATCCTTATTCAGTTTTATAATGTGACTTAAATATAACTTTTACTCACTCATGCATATCACCCACAAAAGACGCTGAATTATTTACATTTGTCAAGTCATTTTGTTTATCATGTAAACACCTCTCAGTTTTAGATTTCCTCTAAGAACCTTAATACTTGGATTCCTTACTGGAATCTATCTCAGCTGCCATACCACTTTTTTTTAAAATTTTTAGCTGTATTTACTCCTCGGCCTTATTTAAACCATTAAATTTATCTGATAGCTTTTAAAAAAACCGAGTGTAAAGTTAAAAAGAAAAAGTTATGTAAAAAGCGCAAAAATAAAAGCAAGGAATCCACGGAAGAATTTATCTTTCCTAAAAAGAC